AGATACCTCTGACAAAGACAGAGGACCAGGTGGTTCAAACTGTCTAAGTTTTCTTCTGAAATGTAAATATAGTTGTGAGGGCTGGCAATTGCTGGGTTGGAGTTACCTGTGTTTGTCAACTAGAGATGACCAGAAGCAGTCAAGAAAAAATGTAGGAAATTGGAAGATGACAGAACAAAAATATCACTATAACCTGAGAGATTTGGAGAGCTCTTTGGACTAAATGTGGGCTGGGATAAGGCTTGGAGCACAGAACAAATAAATGACACAGAGGATTTCTTTGAGGAAGGTTCTGTCCATGACAAGTGAAGTCAAGTCATTCACCAGATATACTCATCTTTTGGGTATGGATCCAAATGGGCAACTGGAAAAGGTCCAAAGAAAAACAACAAGAATAACAAGATTCTTAAAAAAAGTACACAACAAAAACAAACAAACAAACCAAACCAAAACAAAAAAACAGTTATTTCATTGAGTCAAGAGGGTAAAACTGAGAGGGGAAATGTATAAATGACATTTTAAAAGCCAAGCCCCAAACACTTTTCTATGTAAAAAGCTGGGGTGGAAGGGAAAGCACTAAACTTCTTCCAATTTCCATGGCAGACAGGACAAGAGTGTCAGACTCAGTTGCAAAAAGAGGGATTTAGTTAAATTTTAGAGACTTTCTGTTCATAACAACAGTGAAGCACTGGCATGTGCTATTGCAGAAGGCTGTGAAATCTCTCTTGTTGTAGATTTGAAGGGAAAGGTTTAACAAATATCAGTTAGGAAAGACTTAGAGTTAGTTTATACTGTCTTTGAAGGATGAGATAGAATAGATGAAGTCCCTACCAATGTTATAATCTGTGGAACTATAAACATAAAATTTTCCTCTGTTCAGGAAAATGGAACATTATGTACAAGTCCTTGAAAATGAAGAAGCTTACATCAAAAAGACCTTTTTCTATCCATTTCTACTCTAATGGATACCTGCACCAGTTCAGGGTGGGTTCTAATTGGGACCTTATGCCCTTGCCAGGAAATCGTAGGGACTAAGAAACTCCATTATTCTTTGCAGCTGCTCCCTGGACATTGATTTAAGGTATCTGAGTCTAAAAGGAGCTATTTGTCTGTTTCCTTCCTTAAAACTGATGAATGTGAAATGGGCAGGTTGAAAGGAGTTTGGGGAGTCTTGGCTCTACTTCTTTACCTACTGCCCGAAATACCAAGATTAGTGACATTTTAAGGAGCAGAAATGTTTCCCACACATAAGGCATTACTGGGTCACACCACTGCCCACTGCTATGTCTGGATGCCACAAATCACATTTCACCCTTTGGTCAAGAAATCTGTGCTTCAAGTCATTCCCTAGTTCCCAGGAGGTGGCGTTAGTTCCAGACTAGATTCTGCTTCCTTTCATCCTAATGAATAATGCCACTAGGAATGTGTTTATCTGAGCTCGATACCCAAGTCACTAAATCTTCACCTCTGAGCTTTATCCTGGATATCTGCTTCTGGGAAAAATCTTCGTCAGGTTGACTATCATTGAGAAATTAATAGTTTTCAGAAATCTTGAAAATGCTGATAAAATAATGAAAAGAAATCAATTTTCCCTACTCATCAGAGGGCTCTAATGCTGGTGATGTGTCTGATATTTCAAATAACCTTTCAAATAGTCTCTGAATCTGCTGAAGTAAAGACACCTTTCCCACATTTTCCTTCTCTGCCTTTCACAAATGATGGTTCTTTTAACATCCTTCTCTCCACTTTGTTTGCTTAGAGGATCAAAGCTTTTTTATTTATTTCTTTTTCCTCCAAACAGTTTCTGGAGTGTTAAAAAGCACCACCAGTATACTGAGTTTACATTACAAACAAGTTAAAATTCCCAGTCTGTCAGAGCTTTTCTCCTAGGATACCAAGGAAAGCAAAGTTCAGTTAAACTGCACAATTAATCTGCGATCACTTCTGAGTGAAAAAGAAAAGGTTTTTTAAAGCAGGGCTGTTCTCTTCTTGGAGATTTAAAGTCCACTTCAGTAAGAAAAATTATTATTCCCTGAAAGTTATCTTGCTTTATTTGTATTCCAGGAGCTATCCCATTAGATCATCGTCCCTTTTCACTCATAAAATCATCTTAATGAGTCAACTGTGGGATTAGCCATATGTAAATAGATCTTTATTGACAGCCACATTGACAAGCAAATGGATGAAAAAGGGCACGGACTGCATGTTGCTTTTGCGAAAACAGCAGTCACTTTTGTCCTGCCAAGAAGACTTTAAGGCAGACAGCTTATTTTTGGGGTAGAAGTAAAGTGCTCTTCTTCAAGGTAAATATACCCTGTAATAATGGTAAGATAAAGAAGTGACAAGCAGACTTTTGTGTTGATGTACTATTACCATACAGGCAACCACTGCCCTTTTCTCAACTTTTGAGAGCAAAGAGAGCAGCCAGATAACTCAGCCTTGTGCAGCAGTCCCATGTAGGATGGACTTGCACCTTTTTTAGAAAATGCATTGTCTGTTGTTCTTATTGTTGGTCATTGTCATTGTCAGGGCTCTTCTAAAACCCCAATGGCTGCAAGGAAGAAAGTGAGCAAACACAATTAAGAGAACTTGGAGGAATACACTGAAAACAGTAACAGGGTAGATTTGACAAGTGTTTTCTTCCAGTGTTTAGAAAAATATGATAAAAGGATTCCTATAAAACTTTGTAAATTTTCCAGTAAAATGTCATTCTCTGGCAGTATTTTTTGACAAGTATTTGAAAATGAGGAAAACCAGCCCATTATTACTGTCTATGCAAACAATGTGCTGTACAAATCAGTGGTATATGATATTCTTTTCACTCCACTTTGCTAAATTTTATTGCAGTATTATTACACTGATATCAGAGGGTGTTTTTTTTGTTGCTGTTTGTTGGTGTTGTTTGTTTTTTTTTTTTTTTAACTTTTTAAAAGGAGAAGTTTAGAACACTGGCAAAAAGCATCTGTTTGCAGGTAAAAAGTTTTCATCTGTTGTATACTGAAACATCTGGAATCTTTTACAATGATACAAATTTGGTGGCAGTTGACATACAGTGCAAATGTCTTTTTGATTGACTGAACATTAGTAAAAATGCAATTAAAAGTCTATGACAAAGAGCCAGAAAGTCTATGGCTATTTTCCTAGCTGCTAGTACTAATTACTCAAATAAATACAAAATGTCACCAAAAGTTATAAAGAGGTAGGGCTTTTTTTTCTTCTTTACTGCCTCATCATAGCAGAACCAATTATGTTTTTGTATAAAATATGAAATTTTAAATATTCTTACAGATAAAGATATTTTTTGGCATTCCTTAAACATGTAAGCAGATGCAAGCAACCCAACTATGTTAACACCTCAGAACTGAACTCTCTATATTTTACTGCACAATATCTTTTTTTTTTTTTTTCTCTGCTTCCATCATTTTGTCTGTTTATCCATCTTCTTTTCTCAAAAAAATAAAAAATAAATGTAGAAGCAGTGAGAAGAAAAAAAAAATCTGAGTTCTGGAGACATCCCCAGCAATTACTTTTCTTTTTTTTTTTTTTTTTTTTTTTCTCCTTTAAATCAGATCTCTTTGGTTGTGTGATCCTAACAGCGGGACAACCAATTTCTACTAAGCTTAACTATATATTTAACTCACAGTTATGGATATGTGACATTCATATACTATCAGAGCACTTTCTTCTCATGCTTTTCTAATAATTTCATTCACTGGTTGCTGCAACCACCGTGAATGAAATTAATCATAACAATATAAATATATAATAATAATAAAATTACATAGAAATTGCAAGGCAGGGAGTACCAGATCAGTAAACAGCTGAGCCAAAATTCCCTTATAAAACATACATGTAAGAAATGTTCATTCAAGCTCCACTGCAAGTCTCCCATCAGGTGGACACAGCCCATACAAGCTGGAGGCAGTATGTGGTGTAAGGAGCCCTAATGACAACTCCATTATATAAAAGAGATGGCAACCATCCCAGCACTGTGAGTTGAATATTGAAAGGATTAGGAGCTGCTGTGTGTACCCCACACATATTAGTCAAGGACAGCAAGGCCAGTGCTGATCTAGGAACCTCTCAGGGCATCCACTAGCTTTACATAAGGTTGTATTCCTCACCAGAGAAGAGGAGTGTACCTGGCTCACAGTGTCTTTTCTTCCCACAGCAGAAGATTGGAGGTTACCCAACAGCTCCTGCATCATCTAATACCTGCTGTTAGTTAGGTATTGGTGGAGCAGGGAGCTACACTTGAATTACTCCTGACAAAAGCCACAGGTGGGTAAAAAAAATCAGAATATTGAATCTTTTCACCCACCACTAATTAAACAATATTTAAAAATAGACTTGAAACAATCTTATCTCCCAGCCAGTGACGATGTAACTATTGTAAGCAACTTCCAGTAGCAATTTACTTCTGCCAATTAAGCAATTGATTTAGATGCTGAAATAGGGGTTTGTAAGGTTTCCAAGCCCTTTTCAAATGGTGTCCCACACTACACTCCATGGATTGCTTAAGGAGGTAGCCTAAGCTAACTATTCATTTGTATTCTATTCTGTTCATTAGAATAGGATAGTTCATTGAGAACAAACCTGCAAAGATTATCAGGTCCAAATGCCCTTCATCTTTCTTTTCATGCATACCTTAATTTTAACAGACTAATTCTCCTGACACAGTTCTGATCCATGAATTTACTGACTTTGTGGTAACCCAAAGAGCTTTTGACTTCGTTCTCACACAGGTGTGCTTGCTTTGTTTTTCTCTGGACCCTAACTACTTTTTCCTTGACTTCCTAAATGACCTATCAATCTGCTTTTACTTCCTTCGTTTTTATTGCACTGTCTCTGGATTTTACCCAGAGCCTGTACAAGACTACAGGTTTCCCCTCCCTCTTCTCAAGGGTATCCTGATTTGTTTATGTGTGTTCACCTATGGTCACTGTATGTTGATACCTTGTAACACTACTTGGTTAACATGGACTTTAAAATTCTTTTACCTTTCTCCTCTCCACCTAGCTTCTTTATCTTCGTTCTCTCTTATGACTTCAAATTACTGTGGAAAAAAAATAAATCAGTTTTACATTTTCTCTGCTAGCTTGCCCTACCATCTCCAATGCTGCTCCCTAGTTTAGTCAATATGCCTGAATGCAACCCTTTTCCTTACAAAATTTTGCAGTTATTGGTTCCACAACACATGCAATATTTTAGTGCTTCTATGTCACCGTCACCTGCTTTTACATCTCCTCAGCCCACGACTGACTTACTAGTCCATTTACTTTTCTCTCAGCTTGAATAGTCATCTGAGTGTCTTTATTGCTCTTTCTTTCCTTTCATATCAAGCTATTTTGTTCTTTTTATTTTCTCCCATTTTGTCTCCTACAGCTCTTTCCATTTTCCTGAAACATACATGTATTTTTGGTCTTCATGACTCTATTCTTCTCTATTCACCTTTCTAATGGAGCATTTCAGAGTCTAAGAGCATCCACCAAAAGTCTTCCCCAAGTTCCCACTTCATCTATGAAGTGTTCATAATCCATTCTCTCTGTACACTCTGTCCCCTATGCATATTTGATATAGTTTAAACACATGGTCATCATCCTGTATTCCTTTGGATTCCTTTGAAAATGACTTTCAAGTTCAAGGTCATCAGTACCATCAAGGTCAAGCCACATGCTAGATCTAAAGTGCTCTGAGGGAATGCTGCCTCTGTAATTGAGGTTAAAAACATGCATGTGGACAAGTTGGGTCTTAGAAGGTTTGGAAAAGCTGCCACACTGCTGCATAGATTTTTGATACAACCTATTGATTTACGCAAGGAGCCCATAAGTTCTTACAGAAGCAGTACAATCCCTAACTACATAAATGTTCCCATAATCTCAAGCAGAGCTATGAACAATAGCATGATAATAGTTCCAGCTACATCATTTTGAATTTGAGAGGGCCAATATGAGATGAAAGCAATATAGTTCTACAGCCTTTATTTTTGTGTAATTTGGTAAAGCTCTAGTAAATTCTCTTCTCTTTGACTTTAATAGGTTCATTGCGATTTACCCCCATATGAAAATTTGCTGCATTGCTTTAGAAACACAGCTAGGTAGTATATTTCTTGGAGTATGTTGTTAAAAATGAACACCCCTGAAACAAAACACTGGAGAACTTCGTTGGACAATAGATAAGCCAGAAAATTCATTTAGGTTACCCACTGGATTCTGGGTTTACTTGAAAAAAGGGACAAATTACACTAATCCATAACAGTTAAGCCACATCTAACAAAGAACTGTAGTTTTGTCTCAGTGGAAATATCTGACAATTGTACTGAGGCTGTTCCCAGGCATCATTATACTCAGGAGAAATTCATGTTTTTTTTGTCATTTTACTCCTACTACTAAGATCAAACTCATGATTTTCAAGCCAATTTGTATTTTCATAAAAGGAAATATGTGCCAAATTTTTCTTCCAGTTTAGGGCTAGATTATCACAGTGAAAGTTGGCTTAATGTTCATAGTCAGAGACAGTGACTGTCAGAGATGTAGGAAGATGACACCAGCTGAATACTACGCTCCTTTCCTTCCATCTTTGAAGCATGTGTTCATCACCGTCGGGCTCTGGAGATCCAGTGCAGGGTGCAGGGACAGAATGGCATCACCCTTCTGCTCACCCTTGTCTCTCGCTGTTTTGCAAATATAGGGGTTAAAAGTACAAACTTATTCTGTGCAATAAAGTGGAGAGTGAGAAGATACTCATCTCTAACCTAGACTAAGTTCTATATTGCTTAAGACCAGCTGTCAGTTTTATATCAACAAGCAGAAAGAAAAGCTGGTCAATATTGCATGATCATCTTCACGAGAGCTTATGTAGCTTACTGTGGTTACACATATTCACACTCTAACTATAATGCTCTCTGATCCTAGAGTGTGTCAAACACCTCTGTGTTCTGTGGCATTCTAAGAGTGATAGTATGCCTAGCATTTTATCATCTTGAAAAATTCATACAAATTGATCAATAACTACAGTACAAGTTGTAAGAAATGAGCAGCAGAAATCCTGACAAACATTTTACAGGGCTTGGGAAACAGCTTTCTAAAACTGAACAGAGTGAAGTCCTTTCTACAGGATACTAATGGCAAGTTCAGCATCCTCTTAGGGAGAATCTTGTGCCCCATGAAACCTTTAGGCTTGATTCTCAAATCACACTGCTAAACCTGGCTCTACACCTGGCTCTACATTTAGCCCACCAAATTCAAAGGAAAAAATGCAGATTGACCGCAGCATAAGTGAGAACTGGGTCACTCAGGTCTTACACCATTCTACATGGGACTCTGTGAGAGGCTCAGGATAGTTTACTTTCTGTTGGACACTTCAGTGTCAGAAGTGTATTTGCACGGAACATCTGTAGAGCTCTTCATTTAAATGCTGGCATGCCTTCTTACACCTTTTTCATTTCCATATTCAGCTCTACTTAAGTAATCACTGAATTGAATTATGCTACTATTTCTAGTGCATTTCTTTTCTTCTGCATTTCCACCTTAATTAACTAATTTTTTTCCTTTCTTTTCTGTTAAGTATAAAAACATTAAGTGAATCCAGAGAGATATTTTACCCGCATCTCGTTTTACATTCACTCCTTAAATGATAAAATTAGAATCCTACTCTTAGACGAGGTGTCAACATTTGCCTAACTTTATTCATAGAAGCTTATAAGTAGGTCACCAGCACAAGTCACCCAGACAAAGATCAATTGCAATTACAGAAGTGTCTTAGCTCTGGGATGAAATTCTCATTTTAGTGTACTTGATAGCCATGCAATTTTGTCTAATTTACAGAACAGTAAAGCAACTGGTAGATTTTCAATGTTAAAGCACTTTTCATTTTATATACATAATGCAAGACTCTAGAAATAGAGAGAGAGCAATGGTGCACAGTGTCATTCTCAAAAGAGAGCAACAAGCAAAAGAGCTACAGAAATTGAATGTATGAATTATTCTAACAGAGGACAAATTAACTTGTATTGTTCCTTAAGTAAGGAACTTCTTTCCTTACTTAATTCCTTATTAAGAAGGATTTGCAAGGATTGTTAATGATTTCACCCAAAGAGTGAACAGAAACATTACAAAAGTACAATCATTCCTTTACCCTAAGTGTGAATAAGGCTGTCTTAAAGTGTATTTTTCCTAGTGTAACTGAGGAAGTTACATTCTCTTGTAATACTTGCATTTATCAATGTAAACAACAGCAGAAGATGTCATGATGATCTAGGTGTATTTGGAGAAAATGAAAAAAGGTCTCCTAAAATATGCAGTTAATCAGGTGGGTTGTGTGCTTTTCAGATTGTTTTCATGCATATTTAATCAACCTGAGGCAAATACTTATGCAAGATAAAATAGGTACCAGTCTGTGTCCCAGGCTGCTCTGTTTCACAGTCTTCCAATATAGATTTTTTTAAAACTTGAATTAATTATTTAAAAAATGCTCAAAAAACATTTTCAGCAGGTGGCATAAACCAAGAAAAAGCCAACAAATTCACAAACTAGCAACAAATCCTTAGCTCAGTTCAATAGCTTCAATGCAGTATCAGTAAGATGACTAGATTTTCAATAATTGCTTGTGGTTTTACCTTTTTAATCAAGATTGCTGAAATACAGGGATATATGCATTAAGCATGGAAGCACTGAAATAACATAGGGGGAAAAGTCTCCCAAATATCCTCCATTACCCAAAACCCTACTTACACACTAGCGTGGAGATACACTTTCTCACACCCACATGTGTATCTCTATAGAAATGTGAGCCTGACACACACACACATGGTGAAACATATGTAGCCACACACCTACAGGACTACACACAGATAAATATCACCTAGGAATAAACACACATTCCTATGAATCTATACACATATACACTTATATGCACCTAAGCACACAGAAGCATAGATATGCACAAACACACATCCAGAGACACGGGAACACAGGCAAGGTGCATACATAAGCACAAACAACTCTAGAAGCACTCACATATACCTGTACAGCTAGATGCATACTCACATGGACAGATAGATATACAAGCACATATGAAGGAGAATTTACATTAGCTCTAAGATCCCTGCTATTTTCTCCTTTCTGTTTGAAGCCTTCCAAGTTTTTGGACCCTGGGGTGAGCTGGGTCTCTGGGAGACACCTCTGCAGGAGCAAAGCCCTTCCACTTTCTTTAAGGTTCCCCACCTCTCTCCCAGCAGCAGATCCAGGGAGATAAGCTGGGTACCCAGCACAGCTCTCCCAGCTGCTGGCTCGGCACTTTCCAGCCCAGCTTAAGGAACGGGAGAGGACAGCGTGCTTAAGATCTCTTCCCTTCACCCCCAAAGCCTGCCTCTATGGGAGCAGGTACCTCTGGGCAACATCTGGACACAGGCTGCTTTGCCCGGGGCCAGCCAGCCCCCTTTATGGCCACCTCCCCCCATCCAGCTGTGGAGCACCGGGGTCCCCCTGCACCCTACCTCCCCTCCACAGGAGTGACAGCCTGAGCCCCCCGGCACCACCCTCTCCTGGCCCCTGGCTCCCATCAGCAAACCTCTTTGTAAAACGCTGCTCTAAACTTTTTTTTTTTTTTTTTTTGTTCCCGTGGCTGCACAGCCTGCAGTCCTCCAGGCAGAGGCAGGATGCAGGGTGTAGGTTGCAGGGACCCGGGATGCAGGGACCTGGGATGCAAGGTGAGGGATGTGAAGACTGGGATGTGGGATGCAGGGATGGATGTGAGGACCGGGATGCAGAGATCCGAGATGTGGGATGCAGGGATCAGGATGTGGGATGCAGGGTCCAGGACGTGGGCTAACAGTGCCCAGCTCCTTACCGTGCCGTGAAGGTAGGTCCCGGCGAGGGTCTCCAGCTGCTCTCGGGCATCGCGGGCCTCCTGATGTGCTCGTTAAACATCCACCGGGGAGTCTCACCCCCCAAACTTGCGTGAGCTGCTTCCTCTGGGAACAGTCACGGTCTCTCCCCCCCACTTTGGATCGGATCCCGATGGAAACTCATCAAGGCCTCCTAAGCGGTCGGGGGTAAGGCTGGGAGGGAGGAGGAGGAGAGAGGGACAACGGGAGGGAGACACTGCGATCACCAAGTAATCGTCCCCTTCCCTTCCCCTCTCCTCTGGAGCACCCGCTTCCCGTTCCTCCGAGCAACTTTGCCTCTCCTTGGCCAGGCAGCGCCCGGTACCAGCGCTGCTAATTGGGGTCCCCTTTTGCAGCCTGGCATCTTTCTAGATCTCCTCTCCTTCCCGGGCAAAGGGGATTGGCGCAAAGCTTTAAATTAGGAGGCGACCTAGAGTTGCAAAGACAAGGAGGGAGAGCCGGCTGGCGTTCGCAGGCTGCCTCTCCCGGTACTCGGGGCGTGCGGTAGCTCTGCGGAGGGGCTGCCTGAGGCTTATTCCTACCATTTATTCATTCACTGCGTTCCTACGTCTAACTTGGGAGCTGCCTATTGCTCCTGGCACGGCCGGGAGCGGGGCTGTGGCAGGGAGCCCTCGGAAGGGGACCCGCCGCCGTCCCCATGCTGCGGGGCTGTTTAACGGCACGGGCAGAAGAGCAGTGGGGTCCCGGGGGGCGACACGGAGGAGGTAAAGGGGGGGAGAAAAGACACGGGGACGCTGCTGTCGCCTGGCAACCCTGCATCCCTGCCCCGAGCATCCTTCCCTCAGCCGCCTGATTGGACGTGGCCGGGGGGTGCCGCCCCTCCGAGGATGCTGCGCCCCAGCACTGCGCCTTGGCGCATCCTCAAAAAGCCGGGAGCGGGCAGGGGACCGCGAGCAGAAGCGAGAGCCGAGGCAGCCCAGGGTGCCGTGTCGCCGTCCTCTGCCTCCCCTCTTCCAGCTTTGCTTCTGCTCTACATCTCCTAGAAAAAGAATAATCTGTATGCATATAGACCCAAATATACAAACATTTCTGTTTATAGATAGATAAGGAAACATATATCCTACATATTCTACCTGCATTATCTATATTCTCTACATTATCCCTCTATATTCTCTCTCTATTTCTAATGCTCCCATAAGGGAAGACAAAAGAGAAATTGTTCCTGGAGAAAGAGCACTCCAGAGTGCAGCAAAGCTGGATGCAAAAGGAAAAAAAAAATAGAAAAAAAAAGAAAACTATGTTTTGTGGTATATATGTTTGAAAACCAAAGGTTTGCATCACCCAAAATGTTAACGGGAGGTCGTGGTCCTAATTCTCTCCTAAAGAGAGAATTAAACACCATGAGGTGAGTGTAACATCAGGGAGGGTGGATGGATTGACTTGCTGCATGGGGCACTCACCGCTGGAATGAGATGTGGCTGCACTGCTCGTTCTCTGCTAGGGGGGACGGTGAGCAGCTGCTGCCTGCTGGTTGAGTGTGGCATGGAGATGGTGTCTGTAAAATCCCAGTACCTCCCTCTTTGTTACAGCTTCAGATGGGACATGGTGCATTTCTCACCCCTGAATGTTCAGCGGGGAGATAAACCCCATCCGCTTCTCCTAGAGTGCTTCCCCCACCCTCGGGCTTGCCCCCAGCCCAGCTCCCCACTTGCTCACCGTGAGCGCTCAGGTAAGACAAAGAAAGAGGCACTGCAGTCAGGAGCTGCAATCCAGCAACTCACACGGGGCCACTATTGTTCCAGCAGCCCCGGTTCCAGTGAGAAATTAAGCCAATTCAAAGTAAAATGAAATAAACCAAGAAAATCTATCCCTTGTTTTTAATATTTTGTGTTAAGTTATTTAACATCTCTTTACTTTTGTGATCTTCCCATTACGTTTGAGCTGCTTGGCTAATTTTATAAGAGTATTTTTCTTGGAAGCCAAGGACATTTGCTAAAATGTGCATGTTAAACTGTTTCATTAAGGACTTCAAAGTTAAGCTGGAAGCAAAATGAAGTAGTCCAGTTCCTCTCAGGGTTACCCTACTGTAAATTGGATTAAAAGTACATAAAACATTGCAGTAACATCAGGGTAAACTGGAATAAGTAGGAAATCAGTCTCCTGTCCTTTAAATCACAGCACAGTGTGACAGACAAGTCTGGAATATTTTTTTTTTCCACTCTTGCAGGCTGATTGCCAGGAAAGTCTAGTGGAAAGGAGCATCTGATTCTGCATTGTCTTGTACACAGTAGTCAGGGCTCAAAGTGAGTAGGAAAGTAATTTTTTTGGTTGGATAGGATATAAAACCCACTGTGTATGAAATTGGTCACCATAGGTACCAAGTGGAATTTGGCTCAGAGATACTGTAAAATTTTCAGCAGGCAACTTTTATAGGGGCAAGGCAACCTGGTCACTCATGCCTGTGCTTCAAGAAGTATCCTTGGCACAGATGGCTTATTCTTTTTCCATACTTGCTCCTGTGCAGTGTCCCGTAACAGTCCATAATGCTGCTACCCCTTGCATTTCCATCTGATTTATGGCTACTGAGAAGCAGGAGAGTGAACCCTACCCAGCTGGCCAAGCTGCAGGTGAAGACACATAGATTTCAGTCCTACTTTCTGCCAGTGCTCTTCCTCTGCTGATTCTTCTGGCACAATGGGGTCACATTTCATCCATCAGAGCACCTATACCAGTCGTCCCCAAAACAGATTTTGGTGATCTTATTCCAGCGTACAATGGGCAGAACCACCTTTATTTTTTTTGTAGGGAAAATATCTGTGCTGCTGTTCTTTCTGGGGACAGTACGTGCTATGTGCAGAAGGTGTTGTGAAGATGCAGTCCCACACTAAGCATGTATTTTCAGACAGTTATTTACCGAGATGAGTACACAAAGAGGTACGACGCAAGGTGATCCAGAGCTCTAATAAGCTGTGTTTGGGTGTTACTAAGCAAATTGCTCACTTGAAGCTAAATTGTGCACCTTATGATACACTTGAATGTAGATATACCCACGGTCAGACACAGCAATCAGACAGCGTAAGGTCTGTCAGGGGACAGCTCTGAGAAAATAATCAAGAGTCCTCAATGTCTTTGACCTAGATCCATAGAAGAAGTCTTAATATGCTATTTATTTGTTTATTTTCTTTCTGACACAAAAAAAGTAAAAGCAGAATTAAAGTTTCTGTAATAGAGATATTTTGCTCTTGTGAATTATCTCTTAGTGAAATAATAGCTCTAGAAATTTAAAAGACATTTAATTCAGTTCAAAGTGAGTTGCCACATCATATTATACTGAGTTCACAGGAAGGTTTGATGAGCAGAAGAGTTTGTTTTTATAAAATTCATGAATGTAATTAATTAACAGGCTTAGCACCACAATTAAGCAGGTGCATATCTTTTTCTTAAATGGAATTTCAGCATGAGTTTCAAGATTGCACACCTGGGAACTTTCCAATTTTACGTTTGATGGCAAGATACTGTTCCAGAAGAGCACTTTGTAGGGTTCCCTAACTTGCTATAAACAGCTGTTTTGAGACACGCTCAAGTTATTTGCAGATTAAAGCCTAAAGCAATGCGTTAGGAAAGTTGCAAGCGTGCATGTACAGTCAGTGAGTGATCTATGGATTGGACCCATCCTGCCTGAATAATTCATGAGATCTATGATCTTTTCCTCCTTTCCTGGGGACCTTACAGAAATGGACAGGGAATAGGGCCATGGATCAATGAGTTCTTCTGGCAAATTCCCCCCTGCTACTTGATTTCCAACAGCTCTGCAGCTGCTTCCTTTGTGTGTGACTGAGCATAATCCTATCCTGTGGCCAGCTAACCTGAGCTGACAGTGGTGGTCATCACTACAAGATGAAAGCTGACATAGCTCAGTGGCTTGGGGTCACACATCAGCTAGAAAAGATAGTGTTCTCCTGAGAGTCTGCCAATCTCAGGGTGCCAAACACCAGTTTGGTGAAAGATGTGAGTTATTCTTCCATTTTTGGGTAGCCACAGGGGTCCAAAAATATCTTCACAACACTGTGGCCAAGGCGGTCTCCATCTCTGGAGATTCAGTGGACAACAAATTGTTGGTGGTTGATGCGGAGATCTTCAAAGCCCCACACTGTTTGGCTCATCCCTCCCTGCCAATCTTAGGTGACACTGACATATTACAAAGGAACAGCCCAACAGCACAGGGCTTTCAGTGGGACATGTAACTGTAATTAGTAATTCTAAGGGAGATCCACAGTTATAAAAATTGTGCAGGGTGTCATTCCTAAGGGCTTCATGGATCACCATGGACAGTTATGCACTGTGCCAACAAGTGACAATCTAGTGTGCTTTTTTCCTGGAACAAGCATGCACTTCTCACTTAACTATACTAACGGTGGATGAACTTCATCATGAAGCTTGTCATCAAGATGTAATATCTACATTTCTTATTGTTAAGTGATTTTGAAGGGATTTTAGGTTAATACACATGCTGCTAAAAGCACCCATGTACTTTCCTACTAACAACACTTATCCTCTTGCAGCTGATTAGCACGTGACATGCTGACGTGATGTTGTTATTTCCTGTTATTTTCTGGGATATTGGCCTGACACCAACATGACGTGCTTAGGCACTTCTTGGGCAGCATGAGCCTTTTTCAGCCAAAAGGAAACTCTGACTATAAGGCTCAATCCAGCAAAAAACTGGGCTTCACAGGTACACCACGTGAAGGAAAGCTGTGCTCCATGTTGTCTGTGTAAATCCAGCATCACCATCCATTCTTCCTCTAAATCCCAGGACCATCAATGCCTCTACCTATCCTCTTCCTTTTCTCCAGCCAAATTTCTCATCTCTTTCAAGGAGTCTCCCTCTGCCTTTTTCACTTTCTTCCCTCTACACTTTAGACAGTTGACCTCATTTATCTACTGCCGGTGAGGATGTTCATGTCCATGCTAGGCACACAAGTGTGCATATCCTACTTTTACACCTCAGCCATTCCCAAGCCAAAATCCTACAGCAGTTTGTGCAGGTGCAGGGGTGAGCACAACTCAGGCTCTGCCTGGTGTATGCCTGGTATCTGCAGCGTGCTTCAAACCACCTCTGATGTCCATTGCTCTGTAGCCAATTTCCCCTGTCCTCCCTCAGTCTTCTGTTAACTCTGTGGTATAGGAGGCAATATTTGACTTTTGAGAGGATGCTTGCCTTTCCCAGAAGAGGTTGAGGTCTTCCTCACAGGGGAACAGGACATGGCATGATAGCACATTGTAGTCTCTATGACATTCCTTAAATTAATGCAGGCATCTGATCCCATTCTACAAAATCCTGCTTATATGTTTTCCTACCACATGAGTAACAGGGTACCAGATACAAGAATCACCTTACACATTTTGCTTTTGACAGAAATCTCCTTTACATTCCTCTGCATTATTATTTTCTTTATTAGTATTTGAGCGGTTAGCAATCTGGCTTCTTCAAACTATTCCTTCCTCCCTATCCCCAAATCCCCTAACAGCATCTCCAGTCTTTGGAAACATTCTCCCTTCCCCCATCTCCTTTCTCTGTAGGAATTACTGCATTTACATATTTTGTTTAAGGTGCTTAGGAATTATTGACAAGTTTGCTTTACCCCTAGGGGGTTATGGGACGCTGTCAAGCTGTGAGCCACTTAAAGCATTGACTGGCTGGTAGAAGGGATTGCTTGTGACTCTGAATTAGGGCACGGGCCAAGAAATGTAGCGCAGTGCTGTCAGG